AGGTTACAACAGATAGGACGGCGAGAGTCTAATTTAGGGACGAGCCAATCAGAAGCGTTTGAGCAATTTCAGTTATTGGTCAATCAGAAGACAGCATAAAGTAAAAATATATTAAAAGAAAGTAATAAATTACAGTGGATATTCTTCTTTAACGTGATTTAAAAACTCGTATGTCAACATCCTAACGCTAACCTTAACCCTCACCTAACCCTAACCCTAACCTAACCCTAACCCTCACCTAACTCTAACCCTAAATCCTAACCTTAACCCTAAACCCCCACCTAATCCTAACCCTAAACCTTAACCCTCAACTAACCCTAACCCTAAACCTTAACCCTAACCCTCACCTAACCCTAACCCTAAACCTTAACCCTCACCTAACCCTAACCCTAACCTTAACCCTAAACCCTCACCTAACCCCAACCCTAACTAACCCTAACCCCAAACCTTAACCTTAACCCTAAACCCTCAACTAACCCTAAACTCTAACCTTAACCCTAAACCCTCAACTAACCCTAAACCTTAACCCTCAACTAACCCTAACCTTACACGTAAACCTAACTCTAACCCAATAGACGAGTTTCTATTCCATATGCATTGTGAATTCAGAACCTCTGAACCTTAATCAAACCTTGACAAGTTTTTAAATCATGTAAAAGAAGAATACCCATTGTAATTCATTACTTTCATATAATATATTTTCACTTTATACTAACTTTCTTCTGATTGGCTAATAATTGTCAAGGTCACTTAAGATTCGTTCAAAGGTCGTCCTTAAATTAGAGTCTCGCCAAGTAGACAAAGAACTTATTTTTATATAAAGCAACATGATTTAAGCATATATCGTCATAAAAATCTTCATTGTTGTCAAGGCTACCAAAACTACGCAACACGTAACGACATCATAATAAGATTAAACGTTTTTCCACTTTTTATTGCAATTTTGGTTGATTTTCACTATTTCGTTCTACTTTTATGGCAGAAATAGGTTAATAGTGAAAATATTAGCTGTACTGAGGGTTGTAAATTTTATGTATATGCTATAGATGATAATAACACATACCAAGATGTTAACATCACCTTCTACAGTTATATATATAAGCCACCAAATCATTGTACTGTGAGAAATAAATCAGACTCGTGTGCTAGAGGTACAGCAATGTGAAGATTTTACCAGAGACAAAGTTAACAGCTATACTACCTCTTGTACAGAGTTCCAAATTTTAGGCTGCCGGTATTCATGCAAGGTAGCTTGTAGCAGATATAAGTACTATAATAAAACAATTACGAGAAAGCATTGAAATGTACGATTTTTTAAGTAAAACATATTAATCTTAGGTGACCAGATTGTCTGAGGTCGTATATGATGATCTTCGGAAATCAACCGAGGTGTATCTAGCTTACATGCTGTTGCCGGAAATGACAATTACTTATACCTTACGTGGGACCAAAATAAATATAGACATCAGTATATACAGATTCCACAGGACGATTCAAATTAAGTTCATATAGCAGTTTTTATATATATGTGGGTGACTATCCAAATAAAGGGTGTGCCAAACGCACTTTCGATCTGTAATTGAATACCGGGTTCTGTATTTATATTAGTTTCTGGTAAACATTTTGGCTGAGATGACTATTTCCTGTTTATCTTATTTTCAGCTGGCTTCGCAAGTGTTTACAAACCTAATTGGAATTTTCTAATTTCGCAAACATTGTTATACCATTGATATGCAATATGAATTCATAGGTTGGATAATGTCTATGATATGCAACATTCGTTTGTCTACTATAAGCTGTTCTGGTACTGGACTTGTAATACAGATATGTGACATTTTATTTTTGTAGAACACTGTGAATAAAAGTTCAACACCAACCTGATGTACTTAACTAAAACACATGAGCGATTCTTAAGAATTGGAAGTTATTTGCTAATGCATCACTTGTGCGTTTTAAACTTTAATAAACGTTTTCATTTATAACGCATCAGCCTTTTAATTACTGCAATGCTTATCAATCGTGACAGACCGGAATTCGACCTAGTAATATAGTACACCATGTTCAAGGTTGTAGTATTTGGTAAACGGTCTGTATGACTAATCGCGCGTGCACCAACCTGGTAATTGTCACACGAGGACGCGAACCAAGATTTCAACGTCTCACAGCCACATAAGACTGCACAGTACACTCTCCCTGCTGTAACGCTACAAGAACAAGTTAATAGCCATATAAACGAATTTATGTAAAACTAAAAAGATTTTAATATTCGAACTTCTTGTTATCAAGAAGCAAAGCTATGGTCAGTGGGAACAATGAATTCTGACGATGTGGCTTCAGCATTAGCGCCGATTGAACTCATAACTTGTGCGCATATGTCTTCTGATGCTTCGAGGCATGAGCGGAGGTTCACTAAGAGCATGGATTGAGTGGTAGTTGTCATTAAACTTCTTTAACAGATCTTCACTCCCTATAGAGATTGACATGTTGTTCAGCTCACGAAGAACCAAGTCCATTATGTGTTTCCTTGTCCACTGGCTGCTATGGCGAAATAAGTTTACAATGTTCATAGGGACAAATAAACACACACTTACCTCCATGAACCAGATCCTTAGAATGAGCATACAAAATATGACCACAGGGCATATAGTCATTGAAACGCTCACAAGCACATCGTGCACGTGAAGTATCAACAACGTACATCATACCCTTGTCGTAGCAGTGGATATATTCACCTGCTATAAATTCATGTCTCATTTTCCTAACACGTTTATAATTTACAGCTACAATTTCAGTTGCAAAAGCTGTGAACTCATTTAAAATAGTTCGGAATCACAGTGGAACCTGGGATTAACGATACATTTAACTATATTTCTTACCTCAAGCAATGGAAAACGTTGAAGATCCGTCACAGCGTCATATGGATGCAAATGTAGGTCAGTGTCTGTTTTACCCCAAATTTCCCAGAACTCCAACAGAAGAGACTCACCTCCTCTGAGACATTCTTTTAGGTATTTATGAGCACCCTCGACACCATTGTTCGAGTGTGTGCCCAGGCTTAGCACATGCCACCGATAACAGTGGGCCCTCATTGACTTCCGAGCAATTCAGTTATCTCTTATATAATCAAATGCCTGTGGAAAATGGGTTCTTAGGTGTTCATACCTCTGAGGAAATCTGAATATAATGCGTTATGAAAAGCGATGCTCACATGCTAGATTGCCTACTTTTTATGAGATCTTCCAAGTATTTGCGTACATAGAGATTTCTGAAATACAGCAAATAGTCTGTATCGTTAACATTTACCTTCCTGAAAAATGCTCTTAAGACATGGGATGAGCACAGTATTATTTTGGCATGACTGTGAGTAGGCTGTACCGCTGAAATGTCGGACGCTGCCGAATCCATAACGATAGTACGTGTATCATAAATACCACACATTATGTCTTTGAAGCATTCCAGTAGTCTTACGACGTCTTCTCATCGTTCTCGCCTGCAAAGAGCATACATAACAGTGCGTCCTTGCCCAAGACTATCAGTAGTCACTAGCTGGAACAGTGGAAAACCTTATTACTATTCGTTACACAACTTTCTTGGTCTGATAAGTCGAGTCAATACATACTACCTCTGAGAATGTGTGGCAAATAGCTATTCGCTCTCTGCGACTGAAGCAAATCATAGATATGTTTCCATGTTCTTTGGATACTTTTATTTCAGTGTTTGCTTGAACACACTGAAAAATGTCTGAACTCAACTAAATACAATGTGAGTTTAACGACCTGGGTACAACTGTGAACGCATTTCGGCGATATCGTCCTTGGTAAGCTGTTTGTGGAACTTCCAAGAAACCAGATACCATAAACTACGAGTTGGCGTATTACTCAATAGAAACGTTCTTAAATATAAGCGTTCACTTGACGTCGACTTTCGTCTTGAAGGATCTACAGGAAAATATTCTTCTGTGCAAGGATGTTTGTGCACGGTCTTGATATAGGTGACTTTTAGCTCACCATTTACTGCACGCACCCAAAATCCAGATTGGCAATGGCAATATTTCGAAATAAAACATACGTAGATGACCGACGTCGTCTTCTTTGTCTAGGTTGTGGTGGTGAGTTAGGAGTTGTATGCTCTTCAGAAGAATGATGATCACTACCATCATCTACATCCTGAACGCAAGCATCTGACTCGGATGAACTGAATTTACGTCCATATGTACAGACATATCTCACAAAAAATACTTTAGAGATGGGTCATCATTGTTCTTTATACATAATGACATAACGTACTTAGTATGCGTATACTAAAAAAATAATTATTAACCACAGAAGTCATATTACCTTATGACCTATTTAAACAGGTCTCAATATTGTCCCAACTTGTAAATCGTCAAGATAACATAATATCATTGAAGATTCGTCTTACATTGTAGCGTGGTGTCGAGTTGGAATTAACTATGAACACCGCTACCAAGAAACACGTGCCAAATGAATCAGAAGGCGAGGGTTGGACGTAACCAAATAGATCCATAAAATCCCCGAGAAGCCAAATATCAGAAGGCAATTAATGGACCAAGTCGATGTTTATTTGCTGGCGATCTCGTGGCATCGAAAGGATACCGAGATCGTGCCAGGATACAAGCTTGGTTACAGAACGTAACCGAATCCGCGCGAAGTTACAATCAAAGTGTAAGTAAAAGAATGGAAGCACGAAATAGCTCTCATTAGCACAGTCAAACAAAAGCACGTTAAAACAAACACTGGTACAGTTGGTTATAATAATAATTGTTTTTATTAAACCAGTCGTGTTCTCGTGATAAATGTGAGTCACTACAACATCATGCATCATCACGATGGCATCGTCTTCGTTACTTGAAGGGTGGACGTTATCGGACATGGTGTGGCTGAACTCAATCCAAATTCAAAAATATTTTGATTTGACCGCTTCTGAAAATTTTCACGAAGTGTCGATGTGACGCACCAATAATCTCGCGACAGTTCGACCTCCAAGTGCTCGCAACCTCCACCAGCGAACGGTACACCTGAAGCGTTGCCCATTCAAGGCCATCTAGACGAAAGAGCGGGCAAGTCTGGAGAAGCCTTACACCGTATAGTATTAATTTCACTGAAATCTTAAGGTTGGGTTGTTCTCAGAACCGTTTTTGTTTTTCTTTTTCCTGTGCTTAAGAGACTTTTTTGCATTGTTCTCCTATGTATACTCACTTAGCAATTTAAATAACATCAGATTCAGATTTGTGTAGTAAAGACAGAAGGCCTACAGCCTATTTTATTCCTTTTCTAGTATGCTTCTGTTAGTGTCCAGTCTTCTCTTGAAAGTGTCAATTAAAGGTGCGGACACCACTGCTTCGAGCAGCAGGTTCCAATACTTAAGTATCGATAATTCGGTGTGAAAACCTGTATACCACGGGTATTTGTTCGTTCTTGGCTTTTCTACTCGCCTGCTATGTCCTGTGAGATGTCCCGATCTGGTGGGAAAAAAAAGAGACTAAGTTAGGTCCAAAATAATTCCTCAGTATTCTGTACATCAAAATTAGATCTCCCCTTAATCTGCGAAAGGACAGAGTAAAGAGGTCCAGCTTTTCAAGCCGCTCTTTGTATGGTGAACTCCAGAGTTCTGGGATTGCATGGGTAGCTGCCCTCTGTACATTTTCTAGGATATCTGAGTCACCTTCTGAATAGGGGCTTGCAGCCTGAATGCAGTTCTCAAGCTTAGTTCTCACTAAGGATGTGTATACTGTGGTGAACATGGTGGTATCTAACTTAGTGAATGTCCGTCTTAAAGCCCAGAGGGTTCTAAACTCCTTAGCTGCGACCTCCCGGCAATGGGCCGTCGTCTTAAGATCATGACTCACTGTCACCCCTAGATCCTTATGAGACCGGACCACGGGTAATGGCACTTCCCCTATGTTGTACCTATTAACCTTTGAATCCCCAAAGTGCATGTAGACACACTTTGCTGCGTTGATAGGCATCAGCCACTCTTTAGACCAGTTTATCATATTATTTAAGTCTGCCTGAAGAGCACATGCGTCTGTCTCCAGTTATTACTCTCCAGATCTTTACATCGTCATCGTATAATAACATTGGAGACTGTACTATACTTGGAAGATCATTAACATACATTGTAAAAAGTAAAGGACCTAGGACGGAACCTTGAGGTACTTCACTAAGTACTGGTCTCCAGATGGAGCACTTCGAATTTATTCTTACTTTCTGTCTACGACCTACTAGGAAATCCTTAATCCATTCTGAAAGAGGGCCGGGAATACCAAGGTTTTCCAATTTCAATAGCAGTCTATTAGTTGGCACCTTGTCAAAAGCCTTACTGAAGTATATGTAGACAACATTCACTGAGTTTCCGTTGTCTAGCGCCTTTATCCAAAACTCCCTTGCTATAAGGAGGTTCGTTGTACAAGATGGACCCTTTCTAAAACCATGTTCTATGTTTAGCAAGTTATTGGTTTCCATAAATGCCAATTTGGTCCGTCTGACTATTCTTTCCAAAATTTTAACTACAACACTGATGAGGCTTACAGGTATGTAGCTCGATGGAACTTGTCTTGGTCCTGTTTTATTTATAGGAGTGACGATCACGTCCTTCAAGTCCATAGGTAACACACCTTGGTCAAGTGACACATTGAATATCACAGTCAGTGGGACCGCGATATATTGTGCAATATGTCTCAAGATTTTGGGGTGTTGTTCATCTGGTCCTGTTGACTTTTCCATGTTTAAGGTGCTAAGAGCCTTAAGCACATCGTCTTGATCAAAGTCCAAAGTGAGCAGGTGGTTTGTTGACTCTTTATTTTGGTCTGGTTCTTTCTCTAGAGGAGGTTTCTGAGTAAAAACTGCCCCAAAATAGTCAGCCATAGCCTCCGCTTTTTCCTGATCTTCCTCTGTCACTTCAGATTTACTCCCTTCTTTAATTAGGTAGGGAATCCAATGGTGCACCCTTGTTCTGTAGTTTATGTACGAGAATATTCTCTTGGGCTGTTTGGGTGCAGATTGTGCCAACTGCGTTTCATATTTTCTTTGAGCCTCCCAAACTTTTGTTATATTGTTTCTTATCGATCTGTAGCGTTCCATCGTACCTGCTGTGCCAAGGCGGATGGCAACGTCCCAGCATTTCTTCTTTTGTCTCAGTAAACGTCGAATATCCCGGCCTATCCAGGGATGGCCGTGCTTCTTCTTTTTCAGAACTGTCCAGAGTATGTATGGTTGAGTTACCCGATTGTATAACTACCTAAAAAGAGTCCATGCCTCTTGTACTGATGCCCTTGGGTCAATTTCCCAGTTTTCAGCCGATGCTTCGGAGTTGATTGCCTTCATGTCTGCCTTCCAAATGTTAGGACGGGCCGGCGCAATTGTTTGACAAGCAATCTCAGCCATGAATTTGAATAAGATGACTGCATGGTCACTTCTCCCTAGTGGTGGGAGGAAAGTCATTTGACTACTCGGTGTGAAAACCTGTATGCCACGGGTAGTTTGTTCGTTATTGGCTTTTCTGCTCGCCTGCTATGTCCTCTAAGATGACTCAAATAAAATATAGCTATGGTAAACCCATATGCTTCTTTCCTGTTCAGGATGGAATGCAATGTGATAACTACCAAAATGGCTGTGAAAAGCAAGGTGCTCTACAAAGTCTGCTGATTCTTGAGGTTATTAAACTGCTAAATACAGCTGGAAAGCTGTTCCCAAATAAACAGACGACAGTAAATAAGCAGCTGTTGGATCAACCGTTTAGGGGATTTATTGTAGTTAGTTAGTGGGTTAATAACTTTGTGACCAACCGATGTAAAATAAACGAATAGAGGCCTGATTAGATAACATATGATTCATCGCTTTCGAAACTTGATTATCAGATAATCAAGTTTTAGCTTTATGTATATGGGTGTTGATATAGTTCGTAAAGTATTTCCCAGCTGAATGAACCTTAAAATAAATTATATCTTAGTTATCTCCATCTAGTGATTAAAAACGTAGTTATGTTATTCATAAGTTCGTCTTTGAAACATTAGTCCAGAAGTTCAAAATCTGCTTAACTTACCTCTACCAAACCCAGCAGTTCTCTTAACTAGATCTAAATCTGCACTTCATTACCGAAACGTCTGTTATAGTTTTTTGTATCTTGATGCATATATATATATATATATATATTACTGTCAGACAACTCTAATTACTGCAGCTCTCCTTGTCTTTTGACCCAATCACTTGTTCTTTCCGCCAGAAATTCTGCACTAATTCAAATAAAATTATACTTGATGGCGATTGATTCTTTGATTTATGTTACTACTTGTATAGAACCCTCCACCGCTTGAGTAAACATTAGCCTACCTAGCTTTAACCCATGATACATATTCCAATCACCTGAGTCGATAAAGATTAACTACCTTTTTAGCTAATTTTGAATCCCTACTTAGTTCTCGTCCTCTAACCTCAGCGATGTGCACTCGATAATTTCAACATCAATCAATGCTTTGCATGCATAAAATAACTATCCTACTTTTGATGGTCACATTTCACAGCCATAAAGCAGAACAGAATGCTCAGTTTATTTATTTTTTTTGTTGGCAAACATCTTGCAGTCCCCAAAAGCCCTGGTACGGCCGAGAGTGGGGAGAGTCAGCCCTCTCTCTCTCGAAATGCTCTCACATGGTCACGTGTATACAGCCACTTCCAGGAAAGCTCTACTCACTGCCTTCCCATGGCACGGCTGTTGTTTACGAAACTGAAAGGACAAAAAGCAAATGTTCGCGCTTTAACCGGGTTGGCAGATATGAAGGACCCACCTAGAGGAGTTGAAAAACCTTATTACAAAACAGTGGTGTATATGGGCTCCAGAATCCTGAGGAAACAAATGGCGTGTTAACCAATCGTTGGTCGCCGGCTGTCACAGGACTCCATCTCCTTACGTTGCTCCACTGCCTTGTAGATTAGACCTTTAGGTCAGATGCTCGGGGTGTGACCCTCTAAGAAAACCACCTGTTTCGGCCTGGGCACCCAGGCAGTATCACAACTCACAAACAAATCAAGTGACTTGTATGGCGCATATGTATTCAGTGCTATTTCGTACCAATATTTATGTGATCAAATAAAGAAATAATGTATATATATATACGGAATATATTCTTGGTCTTTGCCCTCATATTTTCTCAATATCGTTGTTAGCTAACTTTTCTTTTTTGTAATTCTTCCCTAGATGTATTCAGCAAACATTTGGATTGTTTTAGTATATTCTTGTACTTTGATTATTCGAAATATTGTTGTGTCTTCATTTAATGTAAGTTTCATTTGACAATAATAATTACTAATAAATGATTTCAGATAACTTCAGATGTAATATATTGCAACAATACAAGTTTATATCAAATATCAGTTAAGAATCAAACACATACATTATGGTATTTAATATCTGCCAGTCAACATCATCCGCCTTCGCTAATATTAATACACACTACTGGAGAATCTAAAGTCAACGTGGATTGTTCCAAATTTGATGATAATAATACGTTAAACTATAGGCATTCAGTTTCAGTTAATAATTCTATCCAATCTTACGGATTAATATTACATAGGGTTAGATTTACTTTGGAAATTCATGTTTTATTATTCGAATTAGATAATTCGTTATCGTGATATAAATGATGAAACAATTGCTCCTGACACAGGAAGTCAAACAGAAACATTTTTAGGAAGTAATTTAAACTGGAAAAATTCATCATTTAAGAATGATTCAAATAATGATCAAATCAGTATCGAATTCGAAGCTACACAATCGTTAGATTCTCATGAGAAAATAAACGGTGTTATTAAATTGAATGTATGTTGACTTTGAGTAATTAATTTTTCCTAAAATAATTCAATATTTGGATAAGATATAATCTGTTTTATAGGTGTTATTTTCTATTTTAATCATTAACTACAGTTTGTTGAATAATAGCTACTAGTAGAAGCCACGATGTATGTTTCATCCTATTTGTGATACATCAGTATCTCAATGTTGATATTCACACTGACATTTCAACTGAAATGGCCAACGCATTATCTGTTGAGCTATTGTGTTCAAATAATCTCTGGTTTATGTAATTAGGATAAATTTTATTTGTAAAGGTTTCTATTTTTCTATTGTTGATGGTGAGGACTGTAATTAATTAATCTTCATTAAAATATGTTCATCAGTTGAGGAGATTCAATCAGCTTTGTTATGTAGTCACTTTTTATTGAAATTCGATAAAGATCAATTGTAGTCTTTTATATTATTAACGCGGGAAAAAAATACAAAGCATTATAAATAGTCTGTCATTTATTTTGATTTCATATAAGTATTTAGTAACATGCTTTTAAAAAAAAATCGGATTGGTAAAAAGTTAAACAAAGTTCCAGGCAGATTTATCTGATGACTCAAATAAAGGACTAAACGTAGATCCTGGATTCTATCACGATTTTTTAATCTAATCCTAATAAACATTGTGATCCGATCAAAATATTCGAGCCATCAGTTTGGGATTCATAAAAGTCAATGAAGACTAATCAGTTTCAGTACTTAACATTAACAAAGACAAAATTGGCACTATTACAGCTATCATTTATACCCGTCGCACAAGTTAGTAGCTATTTGAACTGATGATCTCAGTCAGTAACACATAAACCGTTTGAGGGAAAAAAAATACTGGATTTCAGTGTTTTATTTATTTACCTTATGTCGAATTTTTATCTGAACAATAAACTGTCTCCATATCTTGTTCTGTTCTCAACCCACTGTAAATTGATCATAAGCTTGGCATTTTGATTCTTCCTCTATACCCCTTACTTTTCGTACACATACTTCCTGTTTTATTATGTTTTGTAGTCTATATGCTTATGTATTTGGTCATGCATTTTTCGAAAGTAACATCGGATCTCTGCCTAATTTGGAGATATAGTTTTTCCAACTACAGCCATCTTTTCTGCCGACTAATCAGCATTCGTGAGGTAGATAATTAATGATCCGATAGGATAGTTTCTGCCTGTAAGACTAAATTCGTCACAATCGAACTCACCCAAGGTTGCGTTAAGGAGCCTAGCTTTATTAGTCCTGAGACAAATTTTTCTACGGCTCTAAGAACAGAACCAATGGGCAGACCAAAGTCACAATAGATCACCTCATGTTCTTGCTTTTGTCTTTCCATTCTATTTCAAACAAAAACACATCTGATTTTTATTAATCTTTTCCCATATGCATCCAGAAACATTACAGTGCCTTCTCTAAAAAAATGTAATGTGTAAATTTTTAAAACTTAAAATATTCCTAAACACGTCATATATCATTAACTGACTAACTTGAGACTCATGGAAATCAAGAAGTACTCTGAACATAGTTGTTTCAACCCATAGACGTGAGTTTTGCTGGAAAACTATATAACCATTGTATCACTAGTCATTTGAAATAAGTAAATTGTGGCTAAGAGTGGTAATCCATTACGCTCCATTCTTCTTATTTGCAATTTATCAGTTGGATATACCTAGATTCGAATATCGATACTCACTTTGAGACTCAAACTCGTTAACTTTTGATTCAAAAGTTTAATCCATTAATCACTGAGCTACTGGATGCAAACTACCGATTTAACAGGTGTAATGTTTATATTATTATCAGTAAAGAGGTTTGAGTTGTCCTCTACAGATTGCTTATGTACACTAACGATAATCCGATCAAAGTGCAGTTGTACTGTTAGTCATTAGTTTTAGTCCATAATATATCTTATTCTAGTTTCCGGACATTCCATTCTATTCATTCTACTTGAGTCATATGTTGACCTTGTCAATTATTCGCTTGTCAGTTTTGATTGTTTTTATATGAGCGCATATGTGTGTACACATCATATCACATGACTCATTGCATGTCTGTAGCTTAATTTTGTCTGACTATAAATATTGAGTAACGCTAGACTAAAAATGAGTTGGATTACCGGCCATCTCCACTCTGCGTCGTTTCTATTCTATTCACCTCATACACAAAATATATGTATTCAAAATCCCATTCTCGTTATTTGACTTATTTAATTCCGCTATTGACTAACGTGATTAAAGTGGATGATGATATACGAGAATAAGCGATAGCAAACATTCGTACGATCTAAAATGGAGTCAGATCCACGGGCCACACAGTCATGAATATCAGTAACAGAAAAGTTACTATTCCTACTTAATAGTCTGGTTATCGATGGCTTTTTTCTTTTCATCTCTTCCTCAGTGCTTGTGGGTTTATTTAATTGTAGTGAAAGTCGTGTATCCTTAAAGTTACCATTTCCTAACCGATACCAATTCTTCTCACTAAAATATTCTCACATTTGTTTGTTTACATTATTCATTGGGATTGTATATGGATACTAGTGTTCAGTCAAAGATTAAGAATGATATATACCTATATATATGTTTTGTCTTGGAGTTCTTAAATTTCAATTTTTTCATAACTCGAGCAGACATTGATTTGTGTGCATCGTTTCTCGTCAAAATGGAAATTCAAAATCCCCATAGAATACACAAAATTAAAGAATATTCGAACGAACAATCGCCTTCAATAACTTCATTATCAGGCTCAATAGTTTTGAGTCCATAATTATTGTGGCCGGGTCGGTGGATACGGAGGATCTACCTAGGGGAGTTGAAAAGCCCTGATTCCAAACCAGTAGTGCATATGGGCTCCAGGATCCTGAGGAAACAAATAGCGTATAGACCTATTGTTGGTCACCGGCTACCATGGGACTGCACCTCCTTACGTTGCTCCACTGCCTTGTGGATCAGACATTTAGGCCAGATGCTCGGGCTGTGACCCTCTAAGAAAACCACTTGTTTCGGTTTGAGCGCCCGAGTTATACAAATCGAATGATAAAATGTGGCGCATATCTATTTGGTGCTTCCTTGTCCCAATGTTTGTGTTTAAATAAATAATATCACTAGTGATGGCATGCATAAACAAATTCGACAACTTTATATGTTAAAAATAGTGAATATTTGTTCCTGTTACTACATAAATACTTCAAAATTGTGTTATTTGTAAATAATACAGGCCAGAGTGATTTGTAGTAAAGTACCAAGCCGTAATCAATGTAATAGTGATATCGGTATGAGTGACTTAATTAGGTGGTTTACTGATCTTATGTGTACTTGGTTATTTATAACTTGGTTCCTGGATTTTGTGTACTAATTTAAATAATGACTTTGATATCGGATGTTTATCTAGAATATAGGTGTTCAATCCACGTGTTTTTACATTGATATTCTACTAATGATATGAAGTGAAGTAGCTGAGTATGTTGACTACTTCCCTCATGTTGCAAGTCTCAGTAGTACTGGTGGGTTCTTATTTAACGAAAGTTCAGCACTGATCAGGGATGTACAATTGGTTTTTGCTAACTCGTGTCAACAATATTGTGGTTGTGATATCCTTCTCCCAATCACAGAAAGGATGTACTGCACAGCAGTTCATTCTGTTCTACTTTATGGTTGTAAAATATGGTCTTTAAAAACTGGGGATTATTAGTATTTGATACCTTAGAAGCATTGGTAGTTTATGTTGGGACCACTGAATACTCATTACTGAGGTTAGATGCAGGGTACTAGGTAAATATAGCGAATCAGTTGATTTGATAGTGAGTTTTCAGTGACTGGGGTGGTTGGGATATCTATAATGCATATCCAACTACCGCTTACTTAAATGTACAACTTTTAATCGTGTAGGAGTGGTTTGTAACAAATCCAAGTGTAGCCAAACTAGGATGAGATATCCGTTCACAAAAACACTGACTGTTAGACTAAGCCGTAAAGACAAATTCAAATTAATCTATTGTGGTTATCACGATTACTGTAAGGACTGGTCGAAGGCGTTGGGTAGCGTAGCTTAAAATCTGTCACAATATTACAGATGTATTTATTCTTTATCATCCCTAAAATGATCTTATACAGTACTTTGTGAATTCATTTTTTCTTCTCAACTTATATGGTTGTCGTGCATAAATTTATCAGATTTTACATTGACTAACTGATTGCTTGATTTAACTAGAATTAGTTTATATTTGTGCTAATGATGTTGTTCAGAATAACTATGAAAGCTCCATGACCAAACCATCCAGTTCATACAACAAAACTCCATCAAGATATTTGAGAAAAAATTCAGTAGCTTTCACTAAGTATACATCTTTTTTCATTCTCTCTCTCTCTCTCTCTTCCTTTTTACATCTTATCAGTTTAAAGTGTATAAAACAGTGGAACCACGACATAAAGAAATGTATTATAGAATTGAGAATGCTTTAAGTATTTTTATTGAATTAATATTGGACAAAGTGGAAGTAATAAATTCAAATGATAATTTTTCACCTGTCGTATTAATTTTTTCCAATCATTCACTTATGGACGATTCATATTATTGGAATAAAACAACTATTCAAAAATATTGTGAAGATGGTCCTTTGGGCAAAATAAAAGTAGGTTAAACTACTCACTTATCATTGAGATATATTTTTATTTTTTCAATAATTTTTCTATATTTATGTAAACAGTTTCATTTTATTGAAAAAATTCTTCAATAGTTCATCAGAGAACAAAACCCGATTAAAACCACTATGTCAGCGTCTATTGGTATACATTTTCAGATTTAGTTAGCTCGCAGTATGATACAATGATCGTCCAAATCTTTTTTTCGGTCTCGTTTTGATTTTGACAAATGACCCCTTATTTATTATAATTGAGTACAACATTGAATGGGATTATAAGCAAAGATAGATGGTGACTAGCAGTGGAATCTAGGACGCACGTTTCGTCCTATCTTGGACTCGTCAGCTGGATGTACCTGCATCCTAGAGTTGATGTTCACTCCAAGACTCGAACCCAGTACTGTTCACTTCAAACGCCATCGCGTGATGGACTTGGCTACTCAGTCCTGATAACCACTAGTTTGTGTAATGGGATGAAGTTTTTGCATTGTTTGTTTAAATCTTCCCATTGATGTTTAGGACTGTAATTGATCAGTCACTTACTGGCATATATGCACCCTGTGCGGATTGCTTCCATATTGCCTTCAATCACAAGCATTATAAGCAAAGATGAATGGATGAATACGATTGTTATCAATCGGTTCCTATCAGTCTTAATGCTTCAGAAAAATCAACTGTTGAAACTTAAAATATTTACTTTATTTCATAAATAATTATTAGTGATAGTAGGTGCCTCTATATCGTGTTCTCGTTCTATATTAATTATTTTGTAAGTACATATTATTACTTGACCTTTGAATGATCCAACAATCGTATACGTGTTTGTGATATTCAGCAACTTCCTGGATTAAAATCTCATGAAGGAAGCAGTAGTTCTCTAAAAAGATCGCAAATGTGTACAGCTTTACTGCTGACAAATGCCAACAAACTAACTAAAGAAATTTCAGTCCACGGTTCCTACTGAATGCTTTTAACTAACCACTATTACTACCAATAAACATTCAGTAATATAGTGCCGAGTCAGTCAGTCAGTCCTACTCACTGCCTTCTCGTGGCGGGGGTGTTGTTTACGAAAATCGGAGGACAAAAAGCGAATGTCCGGCGCTTTAACCGGATTCCAAACCAATGGTGCACATGGGCTCCAGTATCCTACGGGAACAAATGGCGTATGAACCAGTTGTTGGTCACCGGCTTCCATGGGACTGGATCTCCTTACGATGCTCCACTGCCTTGTGGATCAGACCTTCAGGTCGAAGGCTCGGGGAATGGTCCCCTAAGAAAACCATCTGGTTCGGTTTGGGCACCCGGGCAGTATCCCAGCCCTCACACATATCGAATGATATTTATGTGGCGCATATGTATTTGGTGCGTCTTTGTACCATTATCTATGTGTTGAAATAAATAAATAAATAAAAAGTCAGTCAGTCAGTCTTGCACAACATAAAACCTGACCACATATGTACATCAGTTTAAGTTACCACATCCCGTTAGCACAGCAAGCTGGAATTGTCAGGCCTTAGCACAGAGTAGTAGAGGTATTAACAACAGTATTAGTTGTAATAGAAAAGAATTGCTATCAAAGATACGATTCGAGTAGAAAACGTAAATTAGTAAAATGAAAGAATTTTTATCAGGAATTTAGAAACTTAGTATCCAAGGTAAAACAATGGTTGAATGCATCTGCTCTGTTTCGAATAATTTTGAGTTATGTCACTTTAGGTCTGTAACCACTGGTTACAGTAATCACACGGACCCCCACCGAGTAATCTGGACTCGTCTACTTGGCTCAGTCTTATAATCAGTTTCTCCGTGGATTGATGGTTTGGGCAACCCTAGTTTTCTTTCAACATACTCCTACACCATCCATCATCGCATATCAAGGTAGTCGGTAGGGTGGGGGGTATATGTAATGCATATCCTAACCATTTTATTGGATAAAAATTAATCACCTCGTCAATTAATTCGCCATACTTAGTACTCTGTATCTAACCTCAGAATCGCTAACTCTATGGTCTCAAAATATACGAGTAATGTTTCGAAGATACCTATAATTGAATATTAGTAATCTACGCGTATCCTGTATTTTTAGAGGTCACATTTCACAGCCATGGTATAGAATGGAACAAACTGCTATGGAGTATACTCGTTCTTTAATCGGTAAACGGATATCTCGCCTACTCCATAAACGATACAAATTCTTAAAACCAACCGAAGTTTCTGATATTGTGCTGAGATTTCATCACACATCAACCCAGCAGAGGTGATGAAACTTTCAAACGAAGTGAAGTGGTCAACTCCCTCAACTGCTTCACTTTCTATCATCATTAGTTCAGACGTTAAGCCAGATCAGTCTTGAAGCAACATTTTGCATTTAGATTGCTACGTTTGAAAAGATTATGAGATCACCTAAATTCTGTGAACGGAACGAAGGATCAGCAACACAACGACAAGACAAGCTAAACTATTCCGATGCGTCCCAACCCTGCTAACTAGAGGGAGAAGACCTGGTTCAGATGAGGGGAAGGTATGTTCCACAAGCAGCCAGAAGCACGATCAAACCAAGCATGCATATATATATAGTATAAAAAGGTCTTTGGGAAAAATCACAAAATAGCATAATAAAAGAGGCAACGAATCAGTGACATTTAGGGTCCTTCTAAGTGGGAAATAGTCTGATGGCAAGAATGGGCGCTTTTGGCGCGAAAACGAGAAATTCAAAATTTCAAAATGAAATTACAAAAATAAGACGTTTACCAAGTGATTTTTGAGGATCCAGCATCCTCAACATAGATAGAAGGAAATTCATCTCAAATATGTGTGCATTGTTATGTAAGGTAGTTAGAAGATCCTGGATCTTTTTTCAGCCTCTTTTCTAACTAAAATTATATCTCGATATTCTAAGTCAAGCGAATACTAATTGTTGGAATTCAATCAATAATATGTTTGTAGTCTTTATTCAGTTACATCACCCAGCGAACATCGTTTGTAATAAGTTAACTGTAAACACTTACCAATTATAAATAGATTAATTTACAACTGTGTTAATGCTAAATTTGAGTACTATCTTAAAATCCAGAAAAATGTATGTTATGAAAAAAATGTATTATATTTATTGTTATGACTTATGACCCTGTCAGTTATCACGGGACGAAATCTCCAGTCAGAATACCGTCTCTTATGATCATGTCCCTGTGCTAAACCAGCGATGTATCAACCACGAGTAGCCTTGAGTCAACTCTGAATCTTTATTAGTCCTCTGTACATCAGTTTCTCACCTAGTCCAGTCAGTTCAGCCCAGAACACAAATATCAGCCTCCGCTATACGAATCGTATATTTCAGATATATTCGGTTTATGTACAAGCAGATCAGACCGCCTCACACCATACAATAAAAAACAATAATTATACAAGATCAATTCAGAATTGACTGTGAGTGTGAGAGTGTAACTAAATAGATTGGGATTAAATTAAGAATAGTAAATCGTGTTCCAGTAGCCAATAGACCAAATGGGAGATTATAGTAAAAGGAATACGAATATCAGTCGGTCAGGTGCATCTGTAATTTTCATATATCAATTATTCAGTTAGCATGGAATAAGTGAGTTTACTTAATATGAAGATATAATTTCATCATTCAAGATAAATAACTAAAATGATTACCATTATTTAACTTTAACAAAAAGAATGCAAGCGTGCTAGTAAAATTTATTCGACTGTCACCAGGTGAATTACAAGTCTTTCTATATTTTCTATTGTACACATCTATATGTATATGAATATATTTAGCTAAACTGTTGTATTCGATACACTTGAATCACGTGTATTGTATTGTCAGAAGCTTTTACCACGTTATAGTTTTAATATCAAATTTCCGGAAGATTTGTCCATGTATATGTTTATCGATAAGGGCAGGGAACTAGATACAACTAAGTGTCTGAATGTTATAGTAATCATTGTTAATATGTAAAGTCTTGTGATTTGTGGTATCCGAAATCTGGTACTGATACACGGTATTCTATGCTCTAACTCCTCCCTCCCTAACTGACTACTTGAGCGAGAACACAAGAGTGAGCGAGAAAATGTATTCGACTATTCAATAAAGTGCATAAATACTCATGTATATATATATGTTCATTGTTTTTCGAAAACACTTAACTTTGTAACATTACCGTAGAGTCCACTGACATGAATTAGTTAGTTAGAACTGATTTTTGTTCGCGGTTGCGAAATTCATGTATAGATATGTTGTTAGAGAAATAAGAATAAGTGCCATTCTTATTAATACCGTTGAATGACGGCTCAGTGGTCTAGAGGTTAAATGTCCGCACGCGAGACTGAAGGTCTCGGATTAAAAATGACAAGAGATCAATGAAATCCATTAATTTTAATGTTTATAACTCATTCAAGTATACAGGTTCGTGTACACTTGTAGTGAATGAACACTCAGATGGGGAAGACCAATTTATTTTTTAATGCATAATCGCATAGTGGTTTAGTAAAATGTGAAAATCATACATCAAATATATCATTTACACATCTTCTTTGAATTGTCTTTTATAAGCTTCATTGTTTCTTCATTCCTGTTGTTCTCTTGATCATCTTCAGTTTCCTTTTGTCTTGTCTTCATTTCAATCTTCTTAACCTTGTCGCAGACATCCCACTTCCGACTGGTGCTACACGTTACTTATATATGCAAACATTAGTAGCATACACTACACTCGTCCCTTCTTTAAACGTTCGCTCTTGCGGTTATTCTCCCTCTTTCTTCTTTACCTCAGTCTGCCACCCTCCTCTTCAAAATGTCGAGTCCGCCGGTGCGCTGAATTTCGTAGCTCCGTCAACCTGCCGAGCCAATTTATTTTGTTAATACAGAATTTCGGGATGTCTTCGTAAAATACGAAATTATACATTAAATACATCGTCTGCACATCTTCCATCAATTGTCCTTTATACGCTTCATAATTCCCTCATTTTTTTTATCACAATTACTTTCTGTTCTCTTCAATTGGATCCTCTCAATCTTCTGCTGGCATGCATTCCATTTTCGATTGGTGCCACATACTACTTACATATATTGACATAAGTAGCATATACCACTCACTTAGTTTTATGTTACATATCAAATATTTTGTGTTAGTAATATTTACAAACTGGTTTCTCAATTACTAATAGTAATATGAGAGAATAGTGTTTGTGAATTTGTCGTTTAGTAATTGAAAGTTGAATATCTTTAACCATTGAACAGTTGTTCCACTTTTCCATGTAAGTATTGTTATCAAAGAATGTAATTAGGTGGCTATTAATACTATATAGAGTTCGCTTTCGCTTTAATTAATAGTATTTATCATTAAAAGGGGGATAAATTAACTCAAGATTAAAAGATCCTACGAATTATCATCTTGCGAATTAAATTCTAGACGTTACTGTGGTCTATCGGTTAATAAAAAAGTGCCTACCCACTTCTATACTTATATACAGTTACAATCTACTTCTTATATGACTATATTGAAAATAACAATTCTCATATCACTCTTTACCACAAAATACTACTTAAAGACACAAGTTTCACGATGTACTTTCAACATACAATTCAAAGTTAAGAATGATTTCATGGAAATTAGTATTTTGAATAGTTTGTTGACGGATTACCTCTTGTTTATCTATTATCTCTTGAGACACTAATCAATATCACGTGCTGCATTCAGTAATAGGAATTCCAACTATAATTTTTCTATCTAGCGTCTACTATTCCATCTATAGTCTAAAATTTTAGAGTTGACCAACTATACGTTCTAAACTGGACTGTTGTTAACCTTAAGTCAACATAAACTCCCTGAAAAGAAGTCATCAATCAACCTTTTACTATTATTATGTTTTAATTAACAACTAGTTCAATCAGCCAGCACAACTAACAACTATCTCAAACACTCCTTACTTCGTATACACAAATTATTAGACTGGTACAGTAAATCAAATAAGGTATCACATTTTAAACATTATAATATCATAACTGATAGAGAACAAAACAAACAGTACGTGATTGATTAATAATAATTAAGGAATAAAGTATGGTAACAGTTGATAGGTCTACTAGTAGTCTATAATAAGGAGAATATGACACTAAGTATAATACAATCCATCTATTAATTAATTAATTCATTTTCTTTCATAATATATTTCTCAGTCACCATTTATCCAATTGGGATTGGAAGTATCAAAAGATAATAAATTAATTCAATCTACATGGCCTAATGCTTACTTACAATTTCCTGCAGCTTATTGGATTGATCGTGAAAATACTCAAGCTCAATTAGTACGACTTGGTATTGCACGCCCAATTGATCATCGTTATGTTAAGCCAAAATCATATCATTTTAGTTTACCATTCGCTTTCTACGGTGATCGATTTAATCAAATTCATAGTCAGTCAACTGAAAATCAAGTTGCTGTACGTGAATTAATTATCAATTTAGGCAGTCCTCATTCGAAACATTACTATGCTGACACAAATTATTCATCATGGTAAGCTTATTTATTATTTGATTATTGCTCCATTATATATATATATTACGGTCATTGTGGAAGGGATTTTTGAGTTGAAACATCCTACTCAGTTACTCATTCGCAAAGAATGTGAAAACTTCAGCTGAATAGTCTGCATCTACCTTTACTACTCAGTTTAACAGTCAGTGATTACGTGGGGTGATGTCTCGTCTCGGTTTCAACGCCCTTAGATTTCTTACAACTTAGTCGTACATCACCTAACATCGTTCATCGAGATAAGCGGTAGCTGAATATACATAACACTTATCCTAACTACCTTGACTGATGAAAATTCCTCACCTCATCAGCTTACCATCTTTACCTAGTACCATGTACCTAAATTCATCATTGATGATTCGATGGTTTAAATAAATGCGACCAGTGCTTTGAAGACATCTGTATTTAAATACTAGTAACCTAGGGATATCCTCGCTTTCCAAACACCACGTTTCACGGTCATGAAATAAGAAAACGAACTGATGTATACTATTATCGAGGACTAGAAGAGAATAGAGATGTTATGTCCAGTGTTCAGTAAAGTTCGCTAGAGTTATTAACTCTGTTCATCAAACGTATCAAGTACATTAATCCTTTGAATAAAAGATGGACATCTAGACTATAACACAGCTAACGCGAATAGGCAAAATGCAACCACGCTTTATGAATATATACTCAGATTTCATTAGACACCAACTTCCATGATAAGTAAATTGGTCGATGCGTTTAACTTTTTTTCGTTGATTTATTCGTTGGCTCAGACTAGTTCGGGAGTAACAGTTTGTAGTTGAGGTATAAGAACCCCACTCCAAACGTGCTTGGATCGTTGCCCAAGGTGGCTAAAAGACTGAATTTTATTAGAGTATTTATCTAACAGAACTATGTTATCTATATTTTCTAAATGGAATGATGAAATCTCACTGCAAGTTATCAACGCTTGTATAATTGAATCACGAAAGCTCCAAAAGAATGTCTATGACAGAATTAAATGAAACAAACATATATGCTACTCACATAACTAGAAATGTGAGTAGCTTTAGAATTGGCATTGCGTATTAGACCCAGTCGATTGTACTGAATGTAATATTCACTTAAAGTATACAAGTCAAGTGTAATTACTTTGGGATTGATTTCAATTACCGATTGAATGATATTACACTACGTTGTCGTTTACTGAATCGTGCTATGAAAAAGGTGATTTTTCACGTGTCTGGAGACGTATTAGCCTTAATTTCAGATAGTTTGTCAGCCAATAGTAGATGTACAATCTGGTAGAAATATACAGTAGATTAAGTTGCCATTTCATGTCAACACGACTTGATAAGTTTAACAACATGAATACCAAAGTAATCGAAGATATATAAATAAGGAAGACAAAATGTAGACGAATACTAGAAATCATGATCTAGAATAAGACAATATATGTATTTGCATCATTGTGATCATTTCCATGCCATATCACCGAATATCCTCAACTAATGATCACGATAGTCGTTCGGAACCCAACCAGATAGTTTGCATTTAAAGTCATAACTTATATCAACAGTTGTTGACTTCGTGGTCTGGTGCCAAGTTTTGGTTTCGCTACCCTCAAGCTTTTCTTCCAAACTACTCTTACACCGACAAACATCAAGCACTAAGATAGACTATAGTTATGCTTACACACTACAAGTTCCAATCACTTCAGTAATGAATAAAAGTATTATACTATCCCATAAACCGACTTACCACATTTACCTAGCATATATATTTTAACCTAGAAAAAATGCCCATCCGATTTTTCTATGATACGCGATCACTCATTATCGAACCATTCAATCTACATCTTTTACTTTCATAGATCATGTTTCATAATCAACATACTGTTCAACAAAGTATACTTACCCTTTAGTTAACATTTTTAATATCTCGTCTATAGTAAGCTTAATCGAGAAAAAAAACTATTATCTTGCTACCCTAAGAAAACCCTTTTTATTCTTCCATTTTTTGTCTTATCCTCTTTAGTTTTTAGTTTCGTTTTTTCCTTTCTTCATTTTTTCCTCGTTTTCCTCATGACGTCGTATAGGATTGTCATTGCCGGCCTAGGTGATCCTGATATTGTACCACCAAATGATGATGATGATGATGACAAAAATAATAGCAACAAAAATTCAATTATTTCAGCGTTTATTTGTGGATTACTGATTATTATTGGCGCAATCAGTAGTGTTTCTGTAATACGTCGAATACAACGTAGACATTATCAAAGAATATCTGAATTAAATAGTAGTCGTAATAATAATAATAATAATAATGATAATAATAATAATGAAGCTATTAGTAGTCATTCACGAATAATGGTACAAGAACTATCATCAATAAATGACAATCGTATAGTTGAACCATATCAGTATGAAAAATTAATTAGTCAACCAAATCATGAACTAATCAGAAATAATTATCGTACTATAACTAATGAAGATAATTATTTACCAAATAATAATATATCTAATGTCAATTGGGTTAATGCTCCACCTCCATATGGATCTATTACAAAGGATTATTAAAAATTCGATGATTAAATTGTATACTGCTACTATTACTACTACTACTACTACTACTGAAAACTGTTCATCAAATAGCTATTATTTTACTTTAACATGATTACTTTTTTTGTTGTTGAATAAAACAAAATTCTTGTATTTATTTACTATTTTTAACAAATCAAGCATCATCATCTCCATCTTGTTGGTATTTTGTTTGGTATCATATTTATCCCCGGTATCTTCTAATTATTATTAATACTAATAATAATAATAGTAATATTGTTATTATTATTATTATTTTTATTACGAACACATGTATTGCCCGGTCTAATCAACACATTTTAGATAATTTAATTCTTCAATTATATCATTATTACAATAGATTTTTCTTCTTCAAATTTGTATTTATTCACTGATTTATTAAGATCTTCAAATAATTATTTATTGTAGTTTTCAGGAGTCAGTGAATAGTTAAAACACTTTCACCATTCACCATCCAATAGAAGTTGACAGAAAACTCTTTTAAAAAAATCGGTAGTGTACATATCAGGTTGATTTGGATGGTTATCTACTCTGGTTGGGTTGCCCCTTCCAGCCAAACAAGTTACTGAAGCCTAGTAGGCCCTTCTGAAGAGAAATAGGTCATGTCGAAGCATGGCACAACTACCGGGGCTAGAATAGCTGTTTTTGCGACCAGTTGAAGTTTGCCCTGTGAGGAGCGACCCCGTACATTACATGCATCACTTTCGTCAATTTTTTGTCGTTTTTCCATCCAAGAGTAATTGTGCTGCGTTTCTTTGTGGAGTTCGTAATCGATTTGAGGGTGTCGGTGGAGTGGGTGATTAGGCCGATCTCTACCGCCCGGGTTACCGCACACGTTAGTTCATGGATCATCCTTCCCACTATCCGGGAGGCATGACGCGGACGTGTGAGTCGGATTTTGCCTCCCATCTACTCTGGTACTAAATTTGATACTACCCTAGAAGTCTCTATGCTTATTCGTCAGATGTAATACTAAAATGACGTACGTTTTTCTATAAACAAACTGATCTTGGAGTAAAGCTTTTATTCTTAATTTGAGCTTTTTTTAGTGCTCCAGTCGACGTGTAAAAGTAGTTGGGGTTATAGGAACCGGTTAGGAAGACAGTTTAAGCGTGTCGGTAGCAAGACTTATTAACATGTCTGTCTTTTGTATGAATATTCTGACAAATGGGTACAAGATAGGGATTAGCTAAAGTATATATTGGATATTTTATACTTCAAGTTAATTTCGCGGAATACATAGAAATAAAAACTGTCCGAGATCTTTTCTTGCGAACAACAGTGCTGAAATGTAGAAAACAGGTTAGTAATTGATCAACTATTGAATAGTGATGCATGTCATGTGTATTTAGTCCTTTAATGCAGACCGAACTCTCGATCAAATTGCATTATGTTCAGTAGTCTAAGTGCATCACGTGCTCTAAGTTTTGTTGTCAGATAGTTGAAAGTAATCAGCAGAAAACCCTGCACCCATGTTTAGAATCTCACCGAGAATGCCATTTCCTTCAGGAATACAGGGATGCCTTGGTGACATGTTCCAACTAGTAAGAAATCTCGATTCAGTATTTTTTTTTACTTTCTCCAACTACCTACCAGAATAGACATCAGATTGTACTGTACATTGAAAATGTTCACCTGATTTTTAATTCCAAGAATAATATGTGTTACGTTGTCTGTTTATTGTTTGACAAAAATTTGCTATTAGACGCATTAGAGTATTTTGTTATCGTATGATTGTTTATTATGGTTCGAATTCGAAGGTATTCTCAGTAGTATATGATTGATAATACTACTAACTATGTATATAAATCTTGACATGTATGTTTAACTAATTTCAAAGCTGTGAAATAATAGTTAACCTCTGTTATCAGCACTGAAGCTTTTCTGTTGCTTTAACATGCGTTTGTATGAAAATTTACGGGAATTAAGTTAAAATCTGTCAGTAAAGATTTAATTTTTAGATTAGGTAGAAATAAAATGCTTGTAATTTAGTTCAAGAGGTTTTGTGGACATTCGTTGACAACAATTATCTTGGAGGTCTGACTATCCCTAGTGGGTTGGTGTCTGACGAAATCTCTGCACGGATTCAAAAAGCTCGTTTGGCTTTTGCAAACTTACGTCACCTATGGCGACGGTGAGATATCCACCTATCAGTTAAGAAGGAGTATACTACGCATCAGTTCGTTCTGTTTTACTTTACGGCTGAGAACCGTGGCCATTATGGGTAGAGGATACTCGTAAGTTACAAGTATTTAGACACAGATGTCTTAGAAATATTTCTCGCATCTGTTGGGACCATCGGATGAATAATAGTGGGTCTGGGTCACGTATCACTCATGCCCAACCACCGGTTACCACGACATGCAGTGCTGACTGGTGTTGGAGACGGATGGGAGAAAGTTAGGGGCGGACAAATCAAAACGTGTTATCAGTCCATAAAGTCAATAACATTTGTTAGGTGTTTGCAAAATTTTTTATGTTTATCCACAACCATATTCACAATGATCTCAAAAGGTTCACCATACGCCCTTCTAACTCCTACTACCTTCAGCACTATTTGCAACATAGTAAAATCTTTCCTCAAAAACTCAGGAGTGAATAGTAAGTAATATACAGTTTACAAATAGTAAAATTAAACATCGACCAATCCCAAAAGCATGTAACCTCTTTATATAGTAAGTCAAACGGTAAACTTCCCTCTGTCTAAATAAAACATGAGAAAGCCATGAGTGGTCAGAGGGAAAGCTTATACCAAGATAAATAGTCACATATACTACTTTTCATTACGGAATATGAGTAGTAATAATGAAGTCTGCTAGTTAATGTGTGTTATGATAGTCGGAGAAATATACCAATAATTATCGTGTTAAGTCTATGGTGGCCTTGGACCTTAAATGTACATTTCCTATTAGTCGATGTTTATTTCACTTGTTAAATATTGTGTAAATGTTGTTTTCTATTTTATGGTACGATGTGGTTTGTTTGTTTGGTATATAAATAGACTATGTCTGAAATACAATGATTCATAACTCAGAGGCTGTGACTTGTGTTATTGACTCAACTGGCTAGGACAGACAGCGAAGCAGGGCCAATCAGGGCACTAGGTCGTCCACTACGTGTTTGCGTGTCCACTGTAATAATCGTTCGACAAATGCGCTGCTTGTCAAAACCTGCAGTCTCACACGTTACAACAATGTGCATTCTTCTTTATGTCATTCTGCTAATTAGCTATTTGATGTCCAATTATCTGTTCTATTATTTATGTTTATTGCAGTCGATTAACTAGAAATATTTCGAGATTTAGTATCTTTTTAGTAGCCCGTGGATCTGACTCCATTTAGATCATATGAATGTTCGTTATCACCTATCCTTGCATACAATCATCGACTTAAATCACGTTAGTCAATAACGGAATTTAGATAAGTCAATTAACAAGAATGGCCTTTGAATACACATATTTTGTATGTAAAGTGAATGTAATAGAACAAAGCAAAATGACGCACAGGGTAGATGGCTGGTAAGCCAACTCATTTTTAGCCAGCCGTTACTCAATATTTATAGGTAGACAAAATAAACTACAGACATGTGATGAGACATGGAATATGAAGTGTACACACATATACGCTCATATAAAAACAGTCAAGACTACTGATAAGCGAATAATTAACAAGGTTAAAATATGACTCAGGTAGAATGAATAGATTGGGCTGTCCGAAAGTTAGAATAAAGTATATGGGCTTAACTTAATAACTGACACTACACTTATACCAATTAGATAGTTAATATTAACCATTCCCGAAAGCATGTCACCATTTTTAGCTACGTTTTCTTTAAAATATGCTTAAAGTACTTAACTTAGACATGTCTTTTTTCTAGTATATTTGTGAAGATATATTAGAATACACTTCTAAATTTCATTTGTTATCAAGGCATACCTTAGAAGGAGATCTGCAAAATAGAACTTGATCAGTTTCTTGTTAAGTTCATTAAAATAGAATTACTTAACATAAGTATTATTACACATAAGGCACATTTCTAATCGATCCATTTAGATGCCTATGAAGACATGAGGAAGTGCAAAGATTATTTCATGATGTCAATGAAAAGAACCCTTGACATTTGTTAAATTCATCTGTTAGCAAATTGAAATATATAAAAAACAACAAAACATTCTATACAAAAAGTGGTAGATTATCACTGGCTTTTAGGAACGTTCCTCTAATTGCTGAACACATTAGCTTGTAGCGTGGAGTCGAGTTGAGATTAACTATGAACACCGCTACCAAGAAACACGTGCCAAGTAAATCAGAAGGCGAAGGTTGAACGTAACCAAATAAATCCATAAAATCCCCGAGAAGCCAAATATTAGAAGGCAGTTAATGGACCAAGTTGAGATATATTTGCTGGCGATCTCGTGGTATCGAAAGGATACCGAGATCGTGCCAGGATACAAGCTTGGTTACAGAATGTAACCGAATTCGCGCGAAGTCACAATCAAAGTGTAAGAATCAGAATGGAAGCACAATATAGCTGTCATTAGCACAATCAAACAAAAGCACATTAAAACAAACACTGGTACAGTTGGTTATAATAATAATTGTTTTTATTAAACCAGTCGTGTTTTCGTGAGCAATGTGAGTCACTACAAGCTATCGCATGGTGTATGCTACATATGTTGACAGATATAAATAGTATGTAACATCAATCAACAGTTGAAGAGTTTCATACACATAGTTCCCTTTATCATTTTGAAAAGAGCAAGAACAAACATTCTAGCAGAATAGCATGAATTCATTTTTATTTCGTTGGTTCTCGTCAGCTGCTTACAACCTGTGATATTTCAAATCATAATTAATGAGTTTAAATTACTTACATGAAAGAGTTTGATTGGAAGTTATATTGAAGACATATTCGTATAGTATAGCAAGGGTGTAAATAAATTTAATAGACTGAATATTGTAAATATATACCTTATGTGA